GGTCCTGCAAGCTGGAAAAAAAAAATCTCCCTTCTTGCTGAACCGTTATAAAGCAATTTATAGCAACATCTCTGCAGCAGGTAGTGTTCAGAAAACACTAAAATCAGGTTTGTTTAGACACTGACGACCTCCCCGCGGCTCCTTCTAGAGAGAATCCGGGTCGAGGGAGGGATAAATATATTTGGAACCGTGTTTTCAAAACACACGTGTCATTTGGCTTCTGTACAAACGGTGGCAAAATTCAATTCACAAAAGTAATGCTACGAATCCACTTTAAAAAAAAAAAAGAAAAAAAAACCAAAACAAGAAGAAAATGAGTCAAGAATTAAGCTGCTGGACACGACGAAGTCTCTGAGTCTCCAAGTGTTTTCCACATCAAGCGCCGTGCAGGATCATCCCTCGTGGATGTCGGGGGGTCGGGCCGGGATGAGTCCACACGATGTTTTCGTCCTGCCTCCCCCTCCTCACACACCTTGTAGTGTTCGGGAGAAAAGCAGCTCCATTCCAGTTCCAAACCTCGGGGCGAAGGGAGGAAGTTCTGTCAGTTCCTCGACGAGAAAAATAAAAAAACTACCTTAAAAACCAGCCACACGTGGGTTTTTTCTTTAATAATGCTGAGGGATTTCGCGCAGCCCAGGCGAGGAAAAGGGAGGAAAAAACCAACAGTTTGGTACCAAACCAACCTTTGGGAAGGGGCAAAGCTCTAGTCCTTGGCCAGGCAGCGAGAGCAGCGCATCCCCCCGGCTCCGCCGTCCTTCTCCAGCACTCCCGAATCCCGGCAAGATTTCCAATCCTTCTAGGAGATTTCCATCCCCTCCCCCCGCAAAGAGGCTATATTTGGTTTTTTAAACACACGAGAGCGACCGGGGAGGGGGGTAGGAAAAAAAAAATAAAATAAAAAAAAATGCAGTATCCAGGCGCTGGGGGAGGAGGAGGGTGGTATATTCTTTGTGGCAAATCCTTGCTGGAGCGCCGAGCTTCCTTCCAGGAGAGCTGGGCTTCTTTGGAAGGGAGGAGGCGAGCGGGGCTGTGCCTCGCAGGATGGATGGATCCGGGATTCACGGGGCCGGGATGGATCCACGTTCCTCAAGGGTCCGGGCTGGATCCAGGCTCCTCAAGGGTCCGGGGCTGGATCCAAGATTCACGGCTCCTGAATGGATCCACGCTCCTCACGGACACATCTCCTCCCGGCCGCCCCGCCGCTGCTCACACGGACCCTCCGCCAAACCCACCCCTCCGAGCTCGATCCGGTTGTCGCCTCGTTTTTTTCCTCCTCTTTTTCCTTTTCCTGCGCGGAGCGAGGAGCAGCAGGACACGGCAGGGGCGGGGAGGCAGCGCCTTCCCCCCGCGCCTCCCACACGGCGGAGCGGGGCGCGCTGCCCTGCTCGCCCTCTCCCCTAACTCTGACCCCGGCTCAGCTCCCCGGTCTCCCGGGCGGCGGAGGCAGCGCGGCTCAGCCCAACTTTGTCCCTCCAGCAGTGCAGCTTAGGGGCGGAAAGGCCGAGCCGGGGGGTTCTCTCCGGGCGGCGCCGGCCGTGCCTAGAGCCCGCCGAGCGTGGCTGGCAGCGCGGAACAGCCGTGGGTGCCCCGCTGCCGCTGCTCCGCCGTGGTAATCTCATATCTACCCATTCACCCGAGTGGCGTGCGGAGAACCGGCCCAAGATGGCGGCGCCCGGGCGATTGTTTTTGTTTCCTCTCCGCCTCCCCCTCCTTCCCCGCGGCCGCGGCGGCCGCCGCCGATTGACGGCGGCCCCGCCCAATCAGAGAGCGGCGATCCACGCCTGGCCCCGCCCAGCCCCGCTCGCTCCGCCTATCGGCGGCGGGGCGGGGCCGGCGTGCGGGAGCGCGCCCCGCCCCTCGCGGCCCGCGCGCGCCGCCTCACGGGCGCGCTCCCGCCCGCCCCGCCCGCCCCTCAGGGCGCGGCCCCTCGGGCGCCCTCGCCCCGCTCCGCCCCGACCCCCACCCCGTGTCGGGGGTTCGCCTCCTGCGAGGTGTCGGAGGGGGGGCTGTTTGGTGCTCCCGTCCGCAGGTGATGGAGGGAAAACGCCAGTGGGGGCTAATGGTGTCCTGATTCTGCGTCTCACCCGCACCCCAGCCTGGAAATGGCCCTGGAAATGCCCCACAGGTGGCCCTGGTGGGAGCCACGGCTGTGGGCACGTTCCTCAGGGGCGTTGGTGGTGCCACAGTGCAGAATGAGACTCACGGAACGGGTTGGAAGGGACAGGAAAGATCATTTCGTTCCAATCTTTATGCCATGGCAGGGACACCTTCCACTAGCCCAGGTTGCTCCAAGCCCCGTCCAACCTGGCCTTGGACACTTCCAGGGATCCAGGGGCAGCCACAGCTTCTCTGGCAACCTGGGACAGGGCCTCCCCACCCTCCCAGGGAAGAATTCCTTCCCAATATCCCATCTATCCCTGCCCTCTGGCAGTGGGAAGCCATTCCCTGTGTCCTGTCACTCCACCCCTTATCCAAAGCCCTTCTCCATGTCTCTGGCAGTCTCCCCTCCCAGATGCTGGAGGGCACCTGGACTGTGCGTTATGACACCGTCACACCACGATCCCACATTAAAAGGTGGTTGTTTCATGTTCAGGTCATTAATTAATTAATTGCTCTGTGCTGGCCCCCCTGAAGGACAGGGTGCACCCCTGGTGTGGTGGCCGAGCTCCCTGGCACTGGCACCTTGCTCAGCCTCCCCCCAGATCACAACAAACTCCTGTTTCCTGTCATTATTTGTCCCTTGGCCGTCTTGGGCCAGCAGTTCCCAGGATTTATTTGGGATGAGAGAACCTTTGGATGTTCCCAAGACAAGCACAGCACTGCACTGTGTGACAGAGGAGGGCAGAACAAACGGGTTTGTTCTCCAGTGGGCATAAAGCAGCTGGATTTGGGATAGAGGAGGGACAGAGCAGGATGGGTGGATGATTTCCAGTGTTCTCACCTTCTGTAAATCGTTTGTAAATACTTTGTATCCCTCCACACAGAACACTTTGCACTAAATCTTCCCCCTTGAGGACGGTGGGTCTGCGCCTTCATGAGCTTGGTGTCACTCCCTACGCTGTTTTTAAGTGGATGTCACAAAAATGACTTGCCTCTGGATAAAAAGGAAGACGTGGCCCTTAGATCTGGAGATCCAGGTGGGAAAGCACAAGGACCTTTAATTTCTGTATCCTATATAAAGGCCTGTAATTGCATAAGCAACAAGCACCAAGTTCTCTGAGAACTGGGTATGCTGTTCACTAACCCCTGATAGGTGTTGAGTGATTCCAGATTCCTTTTCAAACTACCTCATGGCACAGCCTAAGGGTTTTTTTTTTAGGGATATGAATATTAAGTGCTACTAAACTGGAAGGAATATTACATATATTTCCCATATGTGAATATACAGCCGAGTCAAGGCCGAGTAACATTTCGAGGCTGTGCTAATTCCCAGATCGGAGTTCAGGAACCAGACCTGGTGATCCACCAGGATTCAGATGCTGAGAAAGGCACCTATTTCAACCTATCCACATCGAGGTGTCTGCTCGAGGTCTTAATCAGGGCATCCTTGGCGTGTCCCGACACTTCCCAACACTAAATTCAGCCAGCGACCGTATTTTTTTTACGATTCGAAACATCCCGAGCGCAAAACAAGATGTCAGGGCTTGTGCACATCTCGAAGCATCAAGACATGTGGCAACACCTTTTATGCCATCCTTTATCCAAGTGTTTCAGAGTGATTTACAAGCGTTAATTAACGTTAAGCGTTACAACACTCCTGCTTAATCTGGAGGTTTTAATATTCTTCAATAGCAGAATATTTAAACGTGACCTGTTCTGCAGGTTGGGTTTTCACATGGCTCAGCTGCTTCAAAACGCCGGTCATGTTGCCACATGAGCAGGAAATTATAGCTAAAAATATTGCTATTGTGTGTGTATGTGAATACATATATATATATTTATATATGAATGTACTTCCCACTGTAGGTATTTGGCTTAGGGTTTTTTTTTTTACCCACAGAATGTAAATTATGGTCCATACTCGTATTTTACCGATTATTTCTGATAAAAATAGAACAAATATGTCACCTCTATAACACCATTTGCATGGATGTCACGGTGAGGAGGTGTCTCTTACTAAAGTAGCTTCTTATCCTTGGGCAGGGGTGGGTTTTTTTGCTGGCAGGATATTCCTTTAGCAGAGCAAATCCTTCTGGCCATCCAGGAAATATTACAAACCCCATAATAGTGTGGGGTTAATCTTGTCAATCGCCTGTTTATCAGGACCACAGGAATCACAAGTGAAGCTTAATTCTCCCTTTTCCTTCCGAGTTTTGAGGCTGAGTGGGAGCCAGTGCTCTGTGGATCAGGATGTTCACCCACATTAGGGATTTGCTCCCATTTAATTGCTTTTTTTTTTTAAAAAAGGGTGGTTTGGTGCAAATATTGTGGAAAAACTGCCAACCATTTTTATGAGGTACTTGAAGCAAAATGCTCCAAGGGCTTTGGGCAAGGCTGTTGTTTTATTGCTCGTAAAAGGATGAGTTTTACCCCAAGTAGACACATTAAATGTCAGCACAGTTGCTGTCTGCTCTTTATTTTTAAATGTCTTTCTCATGTGAATTTTTGGGGGTGTTTCCCTTTTTCACCTTTTGGCTCTTCATTTCTATTTTCCTTTCGCCTTCGAACTCCGGATTTAATTTTTATTTTTTTTTCCCTTTCCCCCTCTTCCAAGATCAATCTGTCTCTGCATTTTTAATGAATCATTTGCTGTGACATATGAGCACTGAAGACACAGTGTCAGGGACTTAAGCATCTGTGGAGAGCAGGAGGAGCAGCAGAGAGATGAAATGAATGTGATCTTAGCTCCAGTCTTTTTGCTCATGTGGGATGGTTCTTTGCCTAGAGGCAGCACAAATATAACTTTCCTTTTAGGGAATAATGAGGAGAATTAAAACCCAGCAATGTCTCATTTTTTTCCTTGTTGGAGCAGGGGCCAGAAATTGAGGATTTGAGGATTTTCAACACCCAAACCCAGCGTGATAGGTAAGAAACTTTTTGTGCAGGACTCATTCACAGCACCTAAAAAGCATTTTTAGGTGGGGTTTGTCATATCAGGAGTAGAACATTTGGCATTATCTCCTTAATCTCCCCTCATGGTATAAATAATTCCCCCTTTGAAACTCTGAAGGGAGAGAGGAGCAGGTTCAGGCACTGTCCTTACACAACCAAACCAAAAAGGACCAAAATGGCAAGGAATTCATCTCTGTCCTCACCAGCCAGCTTGACTTGCCACTGGGAAGAAGTGCAGATGCTGGAGGACAGCCTAAATTAAAAAAAAAATTATTAAAAACAACTGCCTTAAAGTATTTTTAGTTTCATATACATAACTTATGTGGAACTCATAATATTCCAAAAGAGTTTTAATACAAATTTCCAGTTTTATTGAAGTGGACAGGTAATAAAATTACTACAAATTATTCATTATTTTGCACTTTTTTACTCTGTCCTAAAACTGTTGAGGTGCTTTCCAGTTATATGGATAGCAGAGCTTTAGAACATGAGAAAATGTGGAATTAATTCACCTTTGGAATGCTGATGAACTGAAACCCAAAGCTTGCAAAGCAAAATACCTGCTGAACTCAGACCCCTGGTTTGTATCCAGGTATTTGGGTATTGGTGTCCTCATTTCACTCACGTGAGCAGCACCAAAAATTACAAATGGACAGGATTTCCCTGTCTCACATTCTGTAAAGCTGTTCATGGAGTGAGTTTGTGTGTGGGACAAATTCCTTTTCGATGGAAAAAGCTGGAGCCTGTAGACCCTCGATACCACAACAGTTTTCCTGCCTTGAGTTTAAAAACAAACACAGAAATACAGAATTTTAAATACCAAATTGCAAATACCAAACTTTAAATACCAAATTTTAAATGCAAAATGTTAAATGCAAAATTTTAAATGCCAAATTTGAAATGCAAAATTTTAAACACAAAATTTTAAATGCAAAATTTTAGATGCCAAATTTGAAATACAAAATTTTAAATGGAAAATTTTAAATGGAAAATTTTAAATACCAAATTTTAAATACAAAATTTTAAATGCAAAATTTTAAATACAAAATGTTAAATGCAAAATTTTAAATACCAAATTTTAAATACAGAATGTTAAATACAAAATGTTAAATCCAAAATTTTAAATGCAAAATATTAAATGCAAAATTCTAAATGGAAAATTTTCAATACAATCTCCACCAAGAAATTGTCGCTAAAGGCTACCTTTATACCCATGATTATTTTTCCTTTTTTACCTGCTCTCTGGACTTTTTTTTTCCATAAAATCCTCAAGCAGGGATTCCAAACTCCCAAATCTTTCTTCCAGGAGGAAGAGAGTGATGTTTCCTTCTGGGATTTGCAGGATCATCCAGCTGGAGCTCCCTGTTGCTTCCAGACACCACGTTGTCTCTTGGAGGCAAGTTTGTTGTGTCCCAGGTTTTTACTGCTGTGATTTTGTCTGGATTTCCCAGGGAAATCCCATTTTCTGGGTATTCTCCCATAGTCCTCATTTATATTGTAAATTCCTTTCTTTTTTTTAAAGTGCCAGGAAGAGTCCAAGGTGAATTCTTCAAACTCACAAGGTTCTTCAGGTCTGTGTGGAGATTTCCCTCTCAGAATATATTATAAATTTATTTATAAACTAACACTGTGTTCATCACAGAAGGTGAAAGTGTTACAACATTGTCATGTTTTCAACATTAATTTTGGTGAATCCTTACAATATGTTACAAGTGGGGGCTTTTTTTGATACAATGATACTAAATTTTAAAGATTGTATCTCGTGCTCTTACTTTGAAAGGCTTTATACACATATATATTTATTTATTGATAAAGATTTATATATTTTAGATGAACAATTTGTAATTAAATTGTAAATTTAAAGAAATAGGAGAGCAAAGCAGCCAAAGGGGTGAGATTGTCTGATATTTGGAGTATTTGACTGTGTGCTCTTCAGAATTATTGTGTCAATGGGACTTTTGGCTCTTTTGAAACACTTAAAATACTTGAAGAGTTGTAACTACTTATGATGCCATTCCAAATATCCTGGAATCTTTCTGTGAGGACTGGGAGAGTGGGATCAGGAGGGTTGGCTGATTTTCCAGGCTGTGATGTGTGTTTTAACTCCAGACTTTAATCCCAAATTGTGTCTCTATATTATATTTATTATTATGTTATTTATATATATTATTTTCAAATAATTTATCAAATTATCCCAAATAACCCCAAATTTGAAAATGGGTCATTTGGAATTGTGGAAGGGAAATGTGAAGATCCATGGTAATAATTTTATTGTTTATTATTGCTAATAATTTAATGGTTTATTGTGACTGGAGAATGTAGAATTAACCCTCACACATTTTTATGGGAAAGAAGAAATCCTCCTGCTTCTAGAGGCAGCAGTTTTGGGCTCATAAAACCTTCCTGCAAAGGCACATGGTTGGAATAATTAATTAATAATAATTTATAATAATTACAATTCAGACATTGAACAGATAACATGTTCATATCTGAGATGGCAAAATTCCTTTTACTCCCTACAATGAGAAGTTCTTTTCAGTTCAGGCTGTTTTAAAATGGATAAAATTTAATTTTTTTTTTCCATTTAACTAGAAATTTTTCTATGTATCATCAACCTTCCTAAATTTCATTTTTTTTGCCTTGAAATTTTTAGGCAATGAGAATAAAGGTTGTTTTTAGTGATCCACTGGTTTTAGGAACAGCAGGTAACCAACTTTCATGGAACTGCAGAGGAAAAAGTGGTTTTGTTTCACACAGAGCATCAGAAAAGGTGAAATACACACACAGATAGTGGATTTTTCCCCATATTTGCCCTAAAACATTGGGATTATTCCACTGGAGCACCACCACCTTGAAGCCATTCCTCTTTTTCCCATGAATATTTGATGAACTAATTAATGGCACAGCCAGGAGAGCTGCTTTAGAGGTCCCTCCTTCTGTGCCATTCCCCAAATAATTTCTTTCTTTACCAGAGAAACCCAGAATTTATTTATTTATTTCCCCATTATCACTTAGTTTTTTCTGAGAATTCATGAGAGATTTTCACTTTCCCCATTATCAGTTTGTTTTTCCTCAAAGTTCATGAGAGGTTTTCACTTCCATTAAGGCGCTTCTTGAAGGACATAGGAAAAATTATGGAAAATTTAATTATTTTGTATCCCAGAGCCTGTCAGGATCCACAGGGAGGGAAAAGAAACCCTCAGCCCCTTGGGCAGCCCTGTGGGAGTGAGAAGGTGGGTGCCAGCATGTCTGGAATTCCATATCCAGGTGGATTAAGAGCGTTAAGGAAGCTTAACCAGCTCCCAGGAGACACATTCCCATGGCTTGGAAGGCTCATTCCACTGCAGCAGTTGCTTGGCTGCCATTCGGGTGGAAAGAGCAGGGTCTTTCCTCCTGGAATTGTGCTCAGCAGGGCCTAATTTTGCCTTTTTTTGTTAAAAACTCAGAGTTTGGGTGCTCAGGTTGTGCTGAGGGTTTCAGAAACCACATCCCTCGCCATGGAAGTTCTCAGGCTCCAGCTGAGGCCAGGGAAGAAGGGGGAAAAGGCAGGTTTTTTCTTGTTTAATTCAACTAACAGTCCCAATCTAGATTGGTTTCCAAGTTTTATTGTCATTAAAATATCAGGAATTCTCTGAGTCAGGTGTGTTTTGTCTTACAAAAGGACAAAGAGTGGCTGGATGTTTCATCCATATTAATCAGCATGGAAGAATCCTGAAGGTTTATTGTCAAATATTGAATCCTGAAGGTTTATTGTCAAATATT